CAAACATGCTAAAAGTAACACTTTATTAAAGTTCCCTTTGGCCTAGCTAAGCGTCGCTCTCATCCAACTCAACAACCGAGTTTAATCTGCTCGTACACTTTGAATGAATCACATATTAGAATATTTTACTTCCAAAGAAATTTTAATGGGAAAACCCTATTCCGGTAAGAAGTATAATGAACAACTTACGACCCTTTTAGACTGACCCATTTTCGGTAACAAAAAAAAAAACAATAGAAAAACTATATTGCAAGAAAGTCCAATCAAGTTAGGAGTAACTTTAAATATTATGTTTATTTTACGGTATTATTATTATTTTCTTTTTAAAATACAAAAAAACGTGGATTGGTCAGAGTTGCAGCTGGTTTTCTGGTTGTCAACACGACAAGATAACAGCAGCAAATTCCATCATGTACAGGTATTGAATAAGATAATTCAGGAACGCCTTGAATATTTAAGTACTCTGCTAACGAAAGTAGTTCGTTACTTAAATGACGGGTTGACTTTGTTTCAAATGGTGTTGTTAATATTTAATTCAAAAACTGATTTTGACAAAGATTAGGTAAAAGATGTACTTTGTTAAAAATATGGTTTATTTATAAACTTGGATAAAAACAACTGGATAATGGCTTTTATTTTCTAATGAGTTATTATTAGAAGAATGTTAGCGTATACATACAAGTTCTTGATATTTCCCCTTAGAAAATAGTTCAGTAATAGTTTATATTTAAATATCTGGTAGGTACTTTTTGCATAATTTTTATCGAACTTCCAAGGTGATGCCTGGTTGTACCTCCAAGAAACTCTTGAGTATCACGACAAATTGTGTTTGTACTGCCCACGGATTAATTACCATTGGATCAGTTGCATTTCTATCAGATAATGAAGATGTTCTAATGAATTATCAATCAATAAATATTCTATCTATTACCATCTCATTTTTCTACCACTGACAGTGTTTATATATATTGTTTATGTTGATCTGTCTATTTATCTTTTTGTCTCTCTTTACTACCCTTTTATAATTCATGTGTTTATCTTCCTCATATTTCATTCAAATTCCCTGTCTAATTGAACATAAACATTGGTATAGTATATTTTTCCAGTATTATTCTATCATATTGTTTCATGTTATTATATCATCTTACCGTTAATTTTGAACTAGAAGAAGAGAAGCTTGTATTATTTTTAACAATTTTCATCTGGTTATAATAATTACAGTGTAATAGCATCTCAAAATTTTAGCTTGTTGTATTACTTTAGTAATGAAATACTTGAAATACAATTTTTAAAATAAATTAACACAAATGATTTTAGATCCTTTATTTTAAGGTAAAATTAATCAGTCTTAACTCAAAGTTTGAAACTGTTAAAATTGAAACCAGCATTAGATATGTAAAAAAAAATCAAATAATTTTTTGTAGAATAGTCTAAAATGTAGAAACAGGTTATCTTGACACTATGCATTATCAGCATTACAAATTTTGACTGAAACATTACAGTAATTGTGAAAAGTTACACCTTAAGACTAATTTATTTTTAGTGATGGCCTAATTTTTTTCAAACACAGAAATATAATTAATAATTGAAATTGATAAAGTAAAACCATTACCTGATATCAGGCCTCCTAGCTTTTGGGTAGTTTTGAGCAAAAATAAAATAAAAAAAGTCTGTTGTGGTTACTTTTTGTCTGACCAAAGATCTCTGTTTATCTTATTACAAATATTCAGTACAAGTGTATGGTATTATTTTATTATATTCAAGATGAATATTTAAACATTATTGATTATTTAGCTTGAGGAGTACACATAAAAATTAGTTTCATCTTACATTTATTGCAGTGATTGATGTTTGCTAGTGGAATATTAAGTTAGTAATAAACAATAATAAATATTAATGTACAGTACATCTAGAAATGTTAAGTGCCTGTCAAATTACGTGTATTAATGTCATATGTTTAAGTAAGAAAAACTTTGTAAGTTTTGAGAAATTTGAATTGCAAGCTAATGAAATGTTTTATTTAGTATTTAATTTTATACATACGACTATTCATCACTGTTGTGGTTTGTTCTTTTTTTTTATTATTATTATATATATATACTATATTATATTACTATATACTATTATTATATATATATTACTACAACGACTACATGATGCATCAATGACAAGACTTGTTTGATTTCCCATATTTAGGTTTTTCATTTCAAATAAGCATCAATGTCTTTCGTAAACCTTCAAAATAATTTATATGTCAAAGTGACTGAGCATTCTAGTTTCCTAAGTAATTGGTATAGTGATAAAATATTGGTGATTACATTGTGGATTAGAAGTTGGATGGAAATTATTGGTATGATAGAAAAATGTTAAGAGTTTATACTAAATGTGTGAGGAATAATTATAAGCAAGATACAGAATTTGCATTGGTAATATTAATATAATAAAGTTAAAAATAGTTGTTGTTTAAGACTCATAATGTAGGTAAGTTAATATGTAGAATTATAAACAGACTTTTCTATACGTTAAAATAGTTTTATTGTGAGCCCTTGAACCAGGCAGCACTGATCGAAAAAATTAGTTAAACTGTGGAACGCTGCTTTAAAATATGTACCTAGGCAATAGTAGAACAATAACTGACATCTGGTGTCATAATTATTAAACATATATCAACAGAATCGTTATGAGTCTTAAACAACAATTATCAACTCACTACAGATTGATCTCGTTAAGCAGTTAGAAAATATAAGCATTAAACTATTGAGAACTAAAAATAATTTAACCTTCATCATCAGATGTCGTACTTACAACATGATACCTAATAGACTAGAAATATCTTATTGTATTGTTAACAAGCATATCTCAACTATCTTACTCCATTCAGAACAAGCTATTGTTCATGAAAGAATATCTTCATACAGGAAGTAAATGTTTTTCTTCACAATCAACAACAAGATGTAAGTGTTACAATCAAGTCTGTGGTAATTGTTTAAGATTACAAAGATATCATGAGAATTATTGGAACCAGTGCTGATTGAGAATATCACAAGGTCAAACACAGCAAGTTTCATAAACTGTTATTGTCATCTAAATGTGACAGGAACAGAAGAATGGAGATAAATAAGCATACAGTTGTAAACTTAAGTGACAAACATCTTAATGATAATGAAATAAATGTACTATCTCTTGTACTTAATTTTGTTCCTACCCCGAAACAAGTACCTTACACTGACGTCGTTACTTCCACTCAAGAAGTCGCTGATACATTAGATCTCGCAACTGATAATGAATTGTGCTTTCAAGTTTGGGAAGCCTTAAAATCATCTATGATTAAACTTCGAAGCAACTTAACTAAAGAAGAACACCAAGCTATCAGTAAATTAAAGAAAGATAGAGACACTGTTATTGTACCTGCCAATAAGAGAAATGACAGTCCTCTTAAACTGACGTGACTTTAAGCAAAAGATAGAAGAAGTGTTAACAGACACAATTTACCAAAGACTACCTTCTGATCCAACCCAATGTATAGAAAAGAGGTGAAATAAAGAACTTTGGAACATGACAAATAAAAGTCTGACACTGTATAAAAGATTATCTGTACACCATTCAGTTTCCCCACAGCTTTATTGTTTGCCCAAGATACATAAACTTAACATACCCATGTGACCTATTGTATCTTGCATATACTTAGGATAATGAGTAAACTTAACGTCACTGTGGTTTTCTTAAGTCCTTCAACACTACGCGACAGTCTTATGAAGGTAAAACCCCCATTTTCTAGTCCTCTCACAAAGAACGTGGTTTATAGCAATTATAGCATTCGGTGTGAATGTAATAAACAATACATTGGGGAAACACAATGCCCATTACGGGTAAGGTTCAAAGAACATCAAAGAGATATTAAGAACTGTACTATAAATACATCAGCTATAGCTTTTCATGTTCAGGAAAATAACTGTATTGTCGACCCAAAAAATGCCAAAATAATAGACAGAGACAAAAACACCAAATGCAGAAAAACCAAGGAAGCTATTGCCATCAAAGCACAGGACAGTAGACTACCAGTAGGTATTAATCAAAACAATGGCCAACAACTACTCAATACTTCATTGACACCACTAACAAAAGACATAAAGCATATTATTTGTCGTGGTTTTGATGTAAAATTAAACCTTTAATTTTACAATGTATTATTTGAAGTTTAAAAGTTCCTTTATTTTATTTATATATTTTTATTTCTCTGTATATTATTTCAAATTGTGTTTTCTTTATATTTATTATATTGAAGCAATCCATTTATATTCTGTATTCATCATAATTCTATATGTTTAATAACTTTGATACCAGATGTCAGTTATTGTTATGACTATTGCCTAGATACATATTTTAAAGCAGTGTTCCACAGTATGCTGAATTTTTTCACTCAATGTATTGTTGCCCGATCAAAGCTCCAGTAAGAGGGCTAAAAGCTCTCAATAAAAGTATTTTAACGTAGAGAAAGTCTGTTTGTAATTCCACAGAGTTAAGAATAAGTGTTCATGAAAGAGAAATAATGATAAATGTCTGACAAATACTGTGATATTAGATATGATAAAAGAATGATGAAAATCTTTATGAAACCTCGACCAAGAACTATGATTGTGATAATAACAATGGAAAAGTGATGATGAAATTATCATTAGAGAAATTGTTAATACAGTATCTAAAGTATACTTGATAGATGTTTTCAGTTTTCAAGAGGCTTAAGATGAAACTTTATTTTAGATACTTAGTTTACAAGTGAAATTGAACCAGAAGAACTTTTGTTATGCAGGAACTTAAAATCTTCGACAGATATGACAGTTAATTCTGCTCATTAAGAACAGTTAATCTTAACTGTTGCTAAATTCAGTTATAGGACAGTGATATCTGATATAGTATAGATACCTGAAATTGCCAATGTTATCAATAGTTTTATCACACACACTTGACAGTTTCTATTTTGTTTACATTTTTTTTTCCAGTTTTTACGGGATGAGCTGCACTATGAGAATGGCTATGAAAGGCAGAAGGGCTTCCATGGAAACGATAAACATATTAGTGTTGATGAGTTATGGAAATCTTGGAAAGCATCTGAAGGTAATGTGCAAGTTTACTACTGATTACATGTGTAGTTTTTAATATAACAGATGTTGTCATTTCATTTGGGTGAAATGAAATTTTATCAGCAAGAAAAAAAAAATTTCTTTCGTCAGATGAAGATGCAGTTTATAATTCATAGAAATATGTAAGTAATGCTACATTTGTGTTAATGGAACAGTTTGTGTAATAGATTTAAACTGATGAAAAACATGTCAATCACATAAAATTTAGACTTGACTTAAATTTGTTTTTGGTATCTGAGAATTAATGTTTTACTAAATCATGTGTGTTAATGGAACAGTTTGAGTAATAGATATAAAATTTGATGAAAACATGTCAATCATATAAAATTTAGACTTAAATTTGTCTTTAATACCTCAGAAAGACATGTAACATTATACTACATTACACTGTATTCTGAAACATTATGATAAATATTAAAAAACAGAAGGAACTTGAATTGTAGAGCTGTGAACAAATCACTGTTATAACAAAATGGCGACTTGTATACCTCTAGGTAGTAGCAGGAGTGAAGGTGAAAATTTTAATTCTGTTCTGTTCATCTAATCTATGAATTACTGGTTTATCAAATCAGATAAACATCATTAGGTTGTAATGAAGATGATTTTTTTCAGTTCACAACTGGACAGTAGAGGAAACAGTCCAATGGCTAGTGACTTATGTTGATCTACCTCAGTACGTTCAGAATTTCAATGAAAACGGAGTTGATGGTACTGCCTTACCAAGGTAAGCGTGAGTACAGTATTTCTCACTAGTGAATTGTCAGGAATGATTAAGTTGCCAAATTATTCCATATGAAATACATGTCAATGTAATGTATACATCAAGGGACACTCTTGCACACCCACTTATGAGAAAGGTAAAAATTTAAACTCCCCTTTAATATTTCGTGTAATCATTGACTCTCTCTTAAACTCGTGTATAGCACTGACCTTTAATACTTCTGATGGCAACTCATTCCATAAGTCAATTGCCTGATTATAAAAACAAATGTCTTAACAGGAGCCTAGCCTGTCTTTTTCAAATTCATTCTTTTTCCTCATTATTCATATAAACTTCGGTAGGATCATCTCTTAGGAGATCTTAACCCATCTCCTTGATCATCCTATTAGTTCTTTTCTTAAATCTTGCCATGGTTTGATGTAATTGCCAATATCTGAGAAATCATAGGCTTGTAGTTTCAACACTTAATGAAAGATCTCTCTTTTTTTTTTTCTCATCTGTATAGGCCAGTATGGCTTCTGGTTCAGCAAAGATTCCCTTAGAAATAGGAACAAAACAATAAAACTTAGCTTGGTGATAGGTTGCTAAAAGAAAAGATGTTTTTGAACAACTACTGCTATAGTGACAGTCCTAATTCTTTTTTATCTTAAAGATTGACAAAAGCTTACTTATACAGTTGAATTATGATGATGCAGTATGATATGAAAATAGATGTTTTTCATGGAATGAGATGAGGTAGGCTTAGTTTAATCATTTTGCATTTGATTGTATGTAGTTTTGTTTCACTGACAAGGCCACTGTGTTAGACCTTGTTTACATTAGGCCTTCTCAGCCTTAGTTACTGCTTGATTGGCCAAAGAAAGTCACTGAAAAAGAAACTTAAATATATATATATATACAATTATGAAATGGGTTTAAAACTTATTACGTATATTCAATGAAACATTTTGATTAGCAATTTTAAAAAAATCAGGTTGTTTCTAATTTTGGTATGGTAAAAAAGTTATTTTTACAGTACACCAGTAATCATATACAGAATGAAACTGTGCATGGTATTTTTCTAATAAAAACAAAAATTCAGTTTTCAGTCTTATAAAATAAAAACTTTATGGTAAGTTTCGCAAGAATGAAAGAAAATATTAAAGTCAGTAATTAAAAGCTACAACAAAAGTAAGCATCTTTAATTTTTTTCTCAAACCATCACAATGAAATCTTTTTGAAGTTTCAAAACTGCACAGTCATACAAATGTCACTGCTCGGCATGGCCAGGTGGATAAGGTGCTCGACTCACAATCTGACAAAACAAACCAAACAAATGTCACATATACAAATTAGATTTTGTATTTGTAGAAGCTGTATAATGTGTAGAAAATTCTTGTGAAGTGTGAAACTATTCTATCCAGTAGTTGTTTTTATACCATAATGCAATAAAATAGACCATACAATAGGGGTGTCAAATTGATGCACCCAGGCATGATTAAGAGTTAAGTAGGTCCCATCTTCGGTACATAATTTATAATCTTTTACCATGAAAATTATCCCACAAGTGCAAACAGCCCACCTGTTGCTAGATAAATGTTTTCTGTATCTATCTCTGAAAGGGCCACACCTCTTTCCCTAAACCTCTGAAGGCTTATATTTTTGAAGCAGTTCTTGTGATTTAAAATTTCCAGTGTCATTTGTACTTTCGTGTGTATTATAAAAAAAAAAAGAGAATGTTCTAGCAATTAAATTGTCAACATGCTCTATAATGTCCTGTATTTTAGCACCTTACAAGTAAATTCTAGTCCTACTCTTTCTATGCTCCTCACTATAAATAACCTTAACAGTATACTGAATAAGAAGCCCCCACTATATGTATATTCATTACAACTAGCCAGAGGTTTAAATCTATGAGAGATTGTTACCTGAATGCTAACTGAACCCTCTTTATAGTTTTAATTATTTACTACTTTGCTCCCTTGTAAACCCAGCACTCTGATTCTCACCATTGCTTTAATAATAACAAAATAATGCTTCTCTTCTGCAGAAAAATTACATCAAGTACTAGTATTTCTAATTTTTCTATCTGGAAGCTCAGAAATATTATGCCCATTACTCCGTGAGGTAGCTAACTGAGATAGCAAAATCTGTAATAGTAGTAAGAAAACTAGTGTGGTGGTAACTGTTACTTTTACCTCACTTAAGTTTGTTTTTATTTACTAACAATTTTGCTGTGAAATTCTGAAGTGAAATTTTTTTTTTGATGTTAGTTACACACATAAATTTATAAGTAAGACATTTAGTTGTGTTTTGAATAAGTGTTAACACAGTTATGACGCTTTCCCTTTATATAGGATGGCAGTAAATGATGCAAACTATTTATCATCTGTTTTGGGTATAAAGGATACCATTCACAGGCAGAAATTGGCCTTAAAGGCAATGGATGTGGTTCTCTTTGGACCTCCAAAACGTGAGTAGTTTACTTTCTGCCTCCTCCCCATATATATATATATAATTTTATTTTTAAATATTGGTTTAATGCATTTACAGATATTTCAGTGACTTCAGTCTGTGGGTTTTTGAATGATTTCTTTATTGGATGAGTTTTAGAAATTTTACTTCTTTAATTCCAGCTGGAACAGATGTATATGCCAGTTTAGAATCTATGCAGTTGGAACTGATGTATATGCCAGTTTAGAATCTATGCAGTTGGAACTGATGTGTATGCCAGTTTAGAATCTATGCAGTTGGAACTGATGTATATGCCAGTTTAGAATCTATGTAATTGCTTTTATTTCTGATGAGTTCTTAGACAGACTAACCCATCTTCGTTATTTTTCATTGGCTATTTTACTGGAAAAATATACACATAGCAAGATGTAAAGAAAAATGCACAACATACAAGTAGTTAATTTAAATATCTGAAACATAAATGCTCACTGTTAACCACAATTTAGGGTGTACTGGTACGTATAATATGCGTGATTTTAAGTGTTTCAGAGGTTAACAGGTACACGCACAAAGAAGTAATTTATTAGGAACCATTGGATCATGCCAATGAGTTAGGAAAAAAAAACACCCAAAAACATGGCAATTTTGTGTTGTATGGCATTTATGTTGATTTTAATACTATACTTGATTTAAGAATAAAATCTTTTGAATATTATAGCAAAGATTTTATTGCATGTTTTAATTTCAAGTAATGCTGAATAAAATGTAGCTTTTTTTAGAAAACTGAATATTTTTTTGGTAATTTTCAAGATAACATTATAATAAGGTATGAAAAAGTTGGTATTTTTTGTCTTCATGCAGTTTGGTATTTTATATGTAGCCAGTTGTGATATTATGAATGTCAGTTGTCTAAAAATGTTGTTCGCGTATACCATCTATGAAAAGATTAAAAATGATGTACATTATAGGGTGTGTTGGTCAGGGCTGTATCGTCTAGGAAAAGAATGTCCATCTAACTTCTAGTACCATTACATTATAGGGTATGGTATTATCGTGCTGTAGAAAAACTTCTTTTGGCCGCAGCTAAACATTTGCTTAATAACATGATCATTTATTGAGTGTTGAAGATGCTTATTATATTGCAGTGTTAATGGTATTTGTTGAAATTTAGTTTATAGCTATTTATGGAATGGCCAAATTTTTTCTTGCAGACCATAATTATGTAAAAGACACTCTCCTAGTTCTGTCACTAGTAGTAGCTGTTGGTGGCTGTTGGTTTGCTTTTGTTCAGCATAAATACTCCAAGATTCACCTTCGGAAAATGATGAATGACATGGAGAGTTTACAGAATGCTGAAGAAGCTCTTCAGAGGCTACAGGAGGAGTAAGTTCAAATACCTGATATAAAAAAATATTAAATATTAGAAACACACTGATATCAAAAACATCTAATTATGGACAATTTGGAATTGTTTGTCTTTAAATTTTGGGGGTTAATTGACAACATTCTAACTACAAAAAACATCAGCTATGAAGCAAGAAGTTTTAAATAAAACCAAGAGTTTGGAAAGAATGCAGATTTTCCATAACACTATAATGGAAAGTGTAATAAAATGTTCGACAGACATGTTTAATAATACTTTTAAGAGAAAATATTGTAAAGAAAGACTATAAAAACGACTGCATCTTTAACAAAAAATGAAATAAATTTAAAAAAATCTGGAAGTAATTAGATTAGTGACAACTAGAGCTGGATGATTAGTAGTATATGCTAATTGATTAATTGACAGGCTTATTAATTAATTACATTCTGTTAATTAATTAGTACACTCCTCCTACACACACAAACACTCGTAGAAGTAAAATTTATCTGATATTTTCTTTTTGAAGAAAATATCTGTAGTTTTCAAGAAGATATAATTTAACAAACAAAGGAAAAGGACTTTTACAGAAACTATAAAAACACTTGAACTTATATATTAGTCTACTATGACATGATAATCTAATCCTTGCTCTATGCAATCATATTTAAACTTTCATTAGTAACTGTTAAAATCACTTGATGTGGCACCATAAGTTTTTAAACATAAACTAAAGAAATGGGTAATATATTCCCAAGGGGTGATAAGTTCTTAGCAAAAATAGTTATTCTTTGGGATGGGCAAAAAAATACTAAAAGAAAAATGGACATGTGGGTTATTTTGTTTACAGGCTGAATTATAAAAGAACAATTGACATGTGAGTTGTTTTGTTTTCAGGCTGAATTATAAAAGAAAAATTGACATGTGAGTTGTTTTTTTTACAGGCTGAATTATAAAAGAAAAATTTACATTGAGTTGTTTTGTTTTCAGGCTGAATTATAAAAGAAAAATTGACATTGAGTTGTTTTGTTTACAGGCTGAATTATAAAAGAAAAATTGACATGTGAGTTGTTTTGTTTACAGGCTGAAT